ACAGTCGTCCAGTCCTCAGAAGCTCTCAGATCCTAGAATCCTGAAGGAACATTTTCAGAAGAATTACAGCCAGCTTTTCTGGGGCCTCCCCTCTCTGCACAGCGAATCTCTGGTGGCTAACGCCTGGGTGTCTGAGAGATCTTATACTTTACAGTCTCCTCCTTTCTTGTTCAATGGCATTCCCAATGTCCGCCCAGTTCAAACAGAAACTATAATATCTCCACTGCTTTTCCAGGCCCAGCACCTGTCCCATCTGAGGCCTGAGTCCCAACCCTTTATTTCACCCACACCCCAATTCCAGCTGTCACCTATGGCTCAGGCGCAGGCTCAGGCCCGTCTTCAATCCTCTTTCCCAGTCCAATCTCCTGCTTTTGCATCCTCGATTAATAACTCTGGAGTAGCTTGCCCTGCGTCGCAGAATAAGGCGCAAGCTCTCACCTTACCTGAAATGCAGTGCCCTGAATGGTCTTCTAAACAACTAGAAGGTGGGTTGGCTTTACCCTCTAGGGCCCAAAAACCTCAGGACGTCTGTAGCATCTCCACTCCTAACCTTCCCCAGGACAGCTTGACAGCAATTGTTCCTGAGAGCTTTCCAGTCAGTCCTGAACTCCGGAGGCAACTGGAGCAACACATTCAAAAGTGGCTCATTCAACACCAGAGCAACCTGGGAACGACCCAAGAGTCTCCGGATCTGATGCAGCCTCAGGAGAAATTGCCAGGGACAAGTCAGGCCAGGGGCAAACTCAGACCCTTGCAGTCCTCCATGTCCACGGGCGAAAGCAGCAAGGACATACAGAAGGTGACATTCCAGCTAGAGAGGAATCCGTGCACACCTCTGGGGCAAATTCTGGGGCAGACCCCGCAAAATCTAGCCAGGTGCATGGAAAGCTTCCCAGGGAACGTTCTGGGGGCAGCCTCTGAGGAGTTGGAAAGAGACTTGAAGATGTCCTTGAGGAAAGACTCGGAAAGTGATTTATTAAGACGCACAGAGAGAAATTGTATAAAAAACATCCTGAAAGCCCATGTGGGCATGAAGTTAGGCCAGATCAATGAGGGGTTGATCCCCATTTGTGTGCGTCGATCCTGGCTTGCTGTCAACCAGGGTTTTTCTATGTCCAACACCCACATGAATACCAGCAATCTAGCACCCCTGAAAAGTGGGAGAGCCAGTGTGAACACATCCCAGGAGCTTTCCTTCCTCCATCCGTGCACTCAGCAGGTGCTGGGACACCATATTGTGAGGTTTTGGGCCAAACACAAGTGGAGCCTACCCCTCAGGGTCCTCAAGCCCATTAAGCTCTTTAAGCTGGAAAAAGTTTCATCCTTATCCCTGACACAGCTTGCTGGTCCCTCCTCAGCCACCTATGAATCTAAGTCTAGCTCAAAAGTTGAGAAAGCCGTATTCCTAAGAGAGTCACCACCCGCAGATCTGAGAAAGCAGGTGCTGACCAAAGCATCTGTTCAGACGCCAGACAGTCTTCTGGTGTCTTCACCTACATTTACACAGTTCCAGACGGCCCCACAAGGGATCCCATCTTGGAATCCCCATGGGCCCTTGAAGCCTCCTCCAGCTGGACAGGAGGGCAGGTGGCCTTCTAAGCCCCTCACATGCAGCCTCACAGGCAGCACCCAGCAGAGCGGGAGCGTAGGAGCCCAATCTTCAAGGACTGGAGAGACCATGGAGGCAGCGCCACAACCCAGAGTCCCCTTGGGAACCTTTCTGCCGGCAAACCTCCAAGCCACACGTAAGGATGTGAGTGGTTTAGAGGCTCCAGGGACCAGTAAAGGCTCTCAGCGCCCTAGAATGTCTGTCTCCCATGATCCAGAAGAGCTCTATCTTATGGGAGAGGTTGTTAGTGAATTTGAGCCCAGAATGGCCACCAAGTCAGAGACCCAGCCTCAAGTTTGTGGCGCCATTGTGCTCCTTCCAGATGGTTTTACTGACATTCCCCTTGCTACAGAGAGTTTGGCTTCTCAAGTACCCCACGGCTGTCTCCAGAGCATGCCTACCGGGAACATGCGGGCTTCCCAGGAGCTACGTGACCTTATGGCAGCCAGAAGGAGCAACCTGGGGCACAAGGAGCCCAAGAACCCGAAATGTCAAGGCTTATGCAAGAGCCAGAACCAGATGTTTACCCCTACTCACAAGAGTGAGAACCCAACGAAGCCCAACTTAGAAAAACATGAAGAGAGACTTGAAGAACTGAGGACTCCCCAGCGTACCCCAGTCACGAAAACAGAAGAAACCCGACAGGATGAAGGCCTCCAGCTGTTGCCGTCCAAGAAACAGCCTCCTTCAATAAGCAACTTCGGAAAAAACATCAAACAATTTTTTCAGCGAGTCTTTTCAGTGAAAAAAAGCAAGCCAGCACCAGTCACTGCCAAGAGCCAGAAAATAGTGAAAAACAAATCACATGCGTACAGCAGCTGTGCTGAAGCTGAGGGGCTCATGGCAGCAGTTGGACAGATGCTGGAGGAAAAAATGACACTTTGCCGTGAGCATCATGCCTCAAAGGACAATCAGCACAAACAGGAGTTCCAAGCCCCAGTCTGTGGGTTGCCCTGCAACCACAGGCACGTCTTCCACCCGGAACACAGCAGAATGCTGGGCTATGCAGCCAGCAGTCAACAAGCCACTCTCAAGAGCCAGAGTTACCCCAACAGAGAGAGGCACATCAGAGATCAACAGCCCTTGAAAAGCGTCCGGTGCAACAATGAGCAATGGGGCCGGCGACATCCCCAACCCTTGCTCCCCAAGAACCCTGTCTCCCCAGTCAGTGCCCCTCAGGGCAGGCTGAAGACACCCGGTGCCTTCAGCCACCGTCCCCACTGTCCAAAGCACTGTCTTCTTTGGGAAGGTATCTAATCTGGTCAATCACAAATTCTTTTTTCAGCATTCCCTAGAGAAAAACAAGTCCCCAAGAAAAGAAATCACTCTATGTAAAGAAATAATATTTCTCTCATGTTCTTATACCCAGAACATTTAATGTTCCATAATAAATAAATATCACGCTTTTTTTCCCCCATAAAAGGGTAATGGCTTTTATTTGTGTCGTGCTTGGTGTGGGCTTGTTTTCTATAAGTGACAGGATGTGGAGGGATTCTGAGAGTGGTGTTGTGAGTCCACCTTCATCCTGAGTTCCTTCACTGAAACTTACGTTTCCAAAACACTGTCTTTACACAAACAACAAAAAATTCTAAAAACAAGATAAGAAAACCTACGAAGATCCCACTCAGAGACATGGTTCAACCCATCTTCCTACTACTTACTCTCTACCTCAAACTTTATGCAGCTGTAGGAAGAAAGTGTGCAGAGACGTCATAGGACTGAATACCTCCATGCAGGCTCCAGGAACTGCCACAGTCAAGTAGCTTCATGTGTCACAAAATAGTGGAAGCTCAGGTGGGAGAGTGTGGGCCCCGAGTTCAGAAGCCAGGGAAGTCTTGACCCTGGATATCCTGGTGGAGAGCAGATAATGCCTGCCCTTGGGAAGCCCCTTCTCTCCCTCGCAAAGGCTGGGATGGAGATAGGCCCTCTTAGCTCAGCCTGCATACAAAGCACAGAGTCCCCATCCCGCTGCCTCTCCCTTTCTTGCACTCTGGAGTGGTGGTGGGCACAGACCTTCCAGCACTGTGGATGTAAAGGTGGGGGGCGGGGGGAGCCTTCACGGAGGCTGCTGAGGACCGTGAGCTCCCCTACCCAAAATGAGTGAATGACCCTGCTCCTGGGTCACCTGCCCTTGTCTGTCTCACCTATGTGCGTCTCAGCTTCAGAGAAGTAGTTCCGGGTGAATGGGGCAGGGCATGCCTGTGTGTGCAGAGGCTTCCGATGGTGGGGCTCTGTAGAACCACAGCGGGATGCAGACAAAGAAGTGAAAAGGGGCAAAGTGGTGTGAGGGCTCCATAAGCGGTGGCATGAC